GGTTACAGGGTCACAGTGGCCACCCGTGGAGGTCACATCCCAGGTTAGGGTCACAGTGGCCACCCGTGGAGGTCACATCCGGCAATCTCAGCTCTGTGTCCCTCATAACACCACATCTCCTGAAATGAAAATCTCTCACCTTCAGTCTTCTCCGTCACCCAGTCATTTACGTGTTTCCTGCATTCTTCAGTGTCTTTAGAAAAGTTCAGTTCCTCCAGGTCTGCCTGATAGAACTTCTGGCAGGATTCCTTAAAAGCCTACAAATGCAAAATACCTAGTTTGGCCATATTCTACTTGTCAAAGTTTCCTAAAAGTGTGAAAACATTTCTTTCTTAACGTGTTTCTAGCATAAATGCTTGCACAGGGCACCCTGTACTTTAAGACTCATTTATGCAATTAATCAAAATGTATAGACTGCTGGCTTTGTGTCTGGTACTGTGCCAGGTGCTGGACACCAGGGTGAAGACATGACCTTGGACCTGAGGTGGCTCACAGTCTGCTGAGGGAGAAACATATACACACTATAATTACAATTTTATTTATTTTTTTTTTTTGCAGTACATGGGCCTCTCACTGCTGTGGCCTCTCGCGTTGCGGAGCACAGGCTCCGGACATGCAGGCTCAGCGGCCATGGCTCACGGGCCCAGTCGCTCTGCGGCATGTGGGATCTTCCCAGACCGGGGCCTGAACCCGTGTCCCCTGCATCGGCAGGCAGACTCCCAACCACTGCGCCACCAGGGAAGCTCCTACAATATGTTTTGAGAATATAGACGGCGGCAGCCATGCACAAAACAGCCCGTGAATATTCCTGTCAAACGCTTAAACTCCATACTGACTTTCTGTTTGATTTTGTCTCCCCTACTAGGTGGTCTAACCCTGTTTTACTCATTTTTGTATCATCAGCACCAACCACAGTGTCTGAAACATCCTTAGGGAATGACTGGGAGGCTCCATAGTAGAACTAGATTATCAACAAATCTTACAGGTCCTCCAGGAGTGGAATCATTGTGTGTGTGTGTGTGTGTGTGTGTGTGTAGGGTATTAGGGAAAACAGTGACAAGGGATGAGCCATGGAATATAAGTTGGGATAAAATCAAGAAGGTTGTTATATGTAATACATTAAAACCCAAGGATAACTCACCTCATGAAAACTTGTTTTCTGATATAATGTGCCTGGCAATGGGCTCCCATCCTCCGCCCATCTCCTGTTCTCAAACATTTTAGCTTCTACAGAAGAAAGAAGATGTAGAGAGAAGAAGGACCCAAGCAACCAAGAAAAGTGGAGAATGGTTCCCTGTGTCCCCAGTATTCCCCAATTACAGTATTCAAAGGTCAGTCTGATATTCAAAAATGAATATCAATTAACCAGGAGATTCCTGGAATCACTAGTGCTTATCCTAGAAAACCTAACTAGCTGAGGGATCCAGAATCATCTCCAATAATATTTAAGCCCAGAGCAGGCAACCTCCACAGGGTAGCACCCAACAGCAGCTAGAACACGATTATATCTGAGTCTAACAAAATAACCCTTGGAACTGCTGGCCCATAAGATGGCCGGACTTGTCCTGATCATTTCATTAATCTTAAGATAGCATCACTCTGCATATTATGTGGCATAATTTTTGGACTTCACTTATTGAACAATGGCAGGCTTTTACTGGACTAGGGAACTTTGGAATTATATGTTGCAGTAAATAGGAACTACCCAGGTTCAAAACCTTATTTTTTATGAACAGATTTTAATTTTAGAAAGATTATTCTGTCAGTAGTGTGAAAAGACTAGGCCGAATTTGGAAAGATCCATTAGGAAACAATTAAAGAAATAGTGTAGAAGATGTGAGAGTCTGGACCCAGGCAATGGCGGTGGTGATTCAGAAGACGGGACAAATTTAAGAGACTTTGCGAGGCCAGCTCCACAGAAACAGCCCAACAATCAGAGATGAGACCAGGGGACGGCGAGAGTGATGTGGTCACTGAGAAGGGGATCAAGGGGGAGAGGCAGGTCTGGGTGCAGGAAGATGGACAAATTGAAATTGACATCTGGGAAGATATATCAGAGACAATACTTTTTCAAAGGACACAATTCAGAAGCAATCATAAAATTCAAAATTACATTTACAAAATATAATTCTAAACACTTTTTTTTTTTTTTTTTTTTTTGCGGTACACGGGCCTCTCACTGTTGTGGCCTCTCCTGTTGCGGAGCACAGGCTCCGGACGCGCAGGCTCAGCGGCCATGGCTCACGGGCCCAGCCGCTCCACGGCATGTGGGATCTTCCCGGACCGGGGCACGAACCCGCGTCCCCTGCATCGGCAGGCGGACTCTCAACCACTGCGCCACCAGGGAAGCCCAAAGCACATTTTTAAGGCAGCAGAGCTACACTTTATTTCTGCTCTTCTGTAGTTTCTGTATTATTTTCAATTTATTTTTCATCAGTGTGCGAGCACTACTTACTGGCAGGAAATCACATGTCTTTTCCCCAAAGAGTCTGTTGGCAGTTCTGAGCAAGTACTGAGGGCCAGATTTGTTCAATTCCATGAGAAGTGACTGGAATCCTTGGTGAATATCTCCACCTTTGTTCAAACAAAGTGCCTGGTAATAGAAGACGAGAACGTCAACTTTTGACATGCCATTTCTCCCCCAAACAGCTATTTCCAAACAAATTTCTACACTGAAAATCACCGAGAATCCTATTTTAAAATGAGTTTTGTTTAACCGTCTAGCACAGGGTTCCTCAACCTGGCAGTATAGACTTTTGGGGCCACATACTTTGTTGGGAGGCTATCCTGCACATCCTAGGATATTTAGCTGCATTTTTGGCCTCTGCTCACTAGATGTTGGTAGCACCTCTTGGTTATGACCACCAACTCTGTCCAGACTTTGTCAACTGTTCCAGGGAGGAAAAATCGCCCCCAGGTGGAAAGCCCTGCTCTAGTAGATTTATCTATGCCAGGAAGACAGCACGTAATAACTCAGGAGGGAGACAGAACAGAACAAACAGGTAGCGGGAATGACCCACAGAAGACAAGATGAGCAGAAATGTTTCATTAGCAATTCCACAGAAGTCCTCCAGACCAGACTGTGACTTAAATGTCAGGTCAGAGTGAGAATCAAGGCTGTTCCCTTATCTCCCAACAACCCCAGTCCAAAGCCTCATTCCTCCAGGAAGCTGGAAGAAAGAGCCACCAGGGATTCAACTGTGGCCGTGGACATGCTTCTGGGTGTTGTCTGCGCACCCCACTATTAGTGGGAACGTGACGTGTATATGACAGTTTTCTGGGATACATTCACCAGACAGTCAAAGAAACTAAGACATAAATAGGGGAAGGTCTACTTTCCTAAAGTAATATCCACTACTTCATTGGTAGCTAAGGGCACATATAACCCATTTCAGATCAATCAGATAATATATTCCCTCTAAAAAACTCCAGAAGATGTAAGTCCTCATTTGTGTTGCATTCGTCTTTCATTTATGCATAATTGTACACTAGAAACAACCGATTTAACAAAAAGGTTCATTTACACAATTGCATTTCAATTTGAAATACAATGTTAGCAAAAGTTTAAAATAGAACAAAGTGGAAATTCTTGGCCTTTTTGTGGAACAGAATTTTAGTTCACCTTTCTTATCAAAGATGCAGAAAATAACGTAGTGACTTGATTTCTCCCATGAAAACTAGCAGGAGATTCCGTCTTACACAATTCACCTTTCTACCCATGTCTGGTTTCTCTCCATCACCACGGTGCCCCTCCCACCTCCCAGCCTCACTGACTTCCATCAGCTGGAGTGAAGGATGAACAGACCAGCTCTATGAAAGCACAGAGGAAGCCCGCCCTTGGTCTTCCTTTGTGGTGGGCACGCATACCTGGGACATCTGCGCCGCAGTGTTTCCTTTGGCCCCCATTAAGACCATGGTCAGGGCAGAGGAGAGGCTCAGAGGAGAGAAGAACACGTTTCGCAGGTTGTCCTTCTCACCTAGCAGTTTTAATAAGTTGATAGCAAAAGTGCCATTTGCTTCACAGAGATCATCCATCAGTGAAGGTCTGTACCCAAAGCACAACACAGAAGCACATTAGCCATGCCCTCCACTAGCCACTGCACACTAGTCACTAGTCACACCTCCACCCCAGTCTGTGGACACTGGGTATGGTCAGCAGAATGAATGCATCCCCAAACATCCATGTTGAATCTCCAAAACCTGTGACGATGTTATCTTACATGGCAATAAGGACTTGGCGGATGTGACTGAACTAAGGATCTTGAGATGGAGTCACCTGGATCATCAGGTGGGTTCAGTGTAATCACAGGCTTCTTAGAAGAGGAAGGCAGGAGGGTCAGAGCCAGAGAAGGAGAAGTGAGGATGGACGCAAAGGTCAGGACGGTGTGGAGACACAGAACGCAGGTAGCCTCTGGGAGCTGCAAAAGGCAAGGGAACGGACTCTGCCCTAGAGCCTCCAGACTTAAAATGTAGCTCTGCCAATATCTTACGGATTTCTGACCTCCAGAACTGTAAGATAAATCCCCCTATTACTGCTAGTTCTTCAGTTTGCTGTCTCTGGCATAATTTATAAGCAATGTTCTATGAATTATAATATACTATAAATAAAAATGACATTTCTGTCACGATGTCCCATGAAAACAGCTGGATGGATTTCAACAGATTTTGGAGGGTTTTTCTGGGATGGTCTGCCCTAAAATGTGGGCTCCTGGAAAGACATGAAATTTACTTTAAATCAGAAGGACTCGAAAACAATACACCATTTTCCACCGGAGCTGTTGAGACTGGGCTGGAAGCTGTGAAGGGAGCCCCTGGGCACGGAGGTAGAACATGAAGCCCAAATCTCCAGTCATCAAACGCACACTTTGAATCAGGCACTAATTCTGGATCCAGGCTTCACTTTCCCCCCCAGCTTGACTAAACTTTAGACAAGCTTCTTCCTGCCTCTGGTGCCTGACCTCTCTTTCCTTAGAGCACTTACTTTAGGCAATTTGTCATCATAAGTTTTTCCTCTGCTCCTTTGAGAGGTAAACATTTTGAAAAGCCTCTTTCCTATTCTACAGCCCAAGACAATCCTTCTCAAGTCCCTAGCAGCCATCCCTTTAAAATGTAATTGTCAAGGAAGATCGTCTCCGTGGGATGGTGGGAGCAAAATCGCAGCAGGCACCTTGCTGCAAGTTGTGAAAAGCTTTTGCAGCATATTAATTTTTATACTTTTAGAAAAATCTTATAAATGCTGCATTTATTTCTATTAAACCTTCTAGAAACCTGGGCTGCTAGTCAGTAAACTACTAAAGTTCATCAGCTCATCTTGTTTTCCCTGAACCTCTCTGCTGTCACAGTTGAAAACATTTTGGAAAATAAAAGGACAAATCATCACCCATAATCCCATGATGCTATAAGCTATTTTTTCTATTATGCTATCTTTTTTAAAATTGGTATGTATATTTGTAACTCAAAAATTGTAAAGCTACACAAGAAAAATATGTTCCAATTTGGAAAATTAGCAAACAAGAAAAGTACTGGAAACTCTACCTAGAGATAAGGGTCATCATGCATGCGCTCATTTTTATAAACAGATGGGCCATTCTCTGGTCCTTCTTCTTTCAGTTCCCCAGTGGACTAGAAGGGCCTCCTGCAGCAGTCTTGAAAGTATATTTCATTTAGACTTGGAGGGGGTGGGTCTTCTGGGCCTCAACGGCAGGAGGGGAAAGTGGGTGGGGAACACAACTGTTCTAACCGGAGCCTCTTCACTGTTGAATGGTTCCTTTGAAGCTTCATCCTACGATATTTTTTTCAAGAGGAGATGTCTCTGGTTTAAAAGAAAAAAAAAAGGGTGGTGGGAAAAAAAAAAAGAAACGGTGTGAAGTTCACACTCTAAATAGAAAAGCCCAAACCAGTGCACATTCTTTAAAGTTTGAAAAAGAATGTATTAAAACGTCAACCAGGGGCTTCCCTGGTGGTGCAGTGGTTGAGAGTCCGCCTGCCGATGCACGGGACACGGGTTCGTGCCCTGGTCCGGGAGGATCCCACATGCCGCGGAACGGCTGGGCCCGTGAGCCATGGCCGCTGAGCCTGCGCATCGAGCCTGTGCTCCGCAGCGGGAGAGGCCGCAGCAGTGAGAGGCCCGCGTACCGCAAAAAAAAAACGTCAACGAAGAAAATACAACAATGGCACAGTTTGAAAACTGTGCTCTATACTTAATAGGTCATTTAATAGAGGACACAGTGTTAAGTTCCTCACTGCCCTCACTTCAATAAGTCCCTCCAGAGCCGTCAGCTGCAGGGCTTGAACCCGAGGGCTGCAAGGGTCAGAAGACTGATGTGTCTGCAGTGGGCAAGTCCCACCACAGAGCAAGCCTCAGCCTGCCTCCAGGCCACTTCTCACCCCACATTTCCTCACCTTACACTTGAGGATGTTTCGGAAAATAAAAACCTAGGAGCCAGGAGGGATATTCAAACTTGATAGCACGGCGCCTACCAGAAGGTGGCACCAAAGAGACTCAAAGAAGGAAAGAATCGGGTAAACTGGAGATGAAAGACAGGAATAAATTTGGATTTGATCTTACATGAGCATAAGAGTTTTGACCTGTGGACTGAAATAAAAAATGCACAATGTGAGATTAAGTCGTGAGCTAAGTTTTATTCGGGGGTCTTACTGAGGACTGTAGGCTGGGAGACAGCCTCTCAGAGAGCTCTGAGGAGGTAGGGGGAGAAGCATGATTTTAGGGAATGCACGCAGTCAGACATACATATCAGTAAAGGGTTACTGCTACTCACGAGGACCAGATATCTCAGTTAGTGATTTTAGTGCTTTCCTACGTAGGAGAAGTGCAAGAATCTGGGTTCATTAAAATTTTTTCCTGCGATACCTCTCTCTAAGGAGGCTGTTTTCCCAAAGCACAGAGTGTCTCATCCTGTTTTTCATCCCGAATTCCTTTCAGCGTGCACTGTAGGTCAGTGACTGCAATGGCTAACGACTTGATCCTTGTAGAACTGGATGGCGGGCAACGTTCTTTGTTTTACAGGAACCAGGGTGAAGCAGACATAAGCTTGGGCTAATGAGCGTGAGTGTGTGTGTGTGTGTGTAGTTGTCCAATCTGAAAAGGCAAAGGAATGAACTGGAATATCACATCAATTTCCTCTTTACATTGTAACTGTTCTTAATTGTAAATGTCTATTCCTGGTTTCTTCCATATTGCCTCTTTCTTCATCTCATTTCCTCACCTCCATTCCTTTTCAACATCCAGGTGCTGGTCAGCCGCAGAGTACTTCCTATCAGCATCTCACCCCCAGCACTGACACACCGTCACACACACACACCAGTGCACCTCTCAGATGCGCCCCAGCTCACACCAGTGAAAAGATTTTATTTCCAGCCAGTAAAATGGATTGGCATTAAACTCGTTTTCCTTTTACAGGTGAACAAACAAGGTCAGAACAATTAAATACTGTCCTCAGGTCTCAGAAAAAACTGACAGATTCAGCCACAAAAGCAAGCCTTCTGCTTCCAAGTAGTTGTCCCTCGGTATCCATGGGGGATTGGTTTCAGGACCCCCGTGGATACCAAAATCCAAGGATGCTCAAGTCCCTTATATAAAATGGTATAGTATTTGCTCATAACCTACACACATCCTCTTGTATACTTTAAATCAGCTCTAGATTACTTACAATCCCTAATACAATGTAAATGCTAGGTAAATAGTTGCCAGAGGGTGCAAATTCAAGTTTTCCTTTTTGGAACTTTCTAGAATTTTTTTCAAATACTTTCCATCTGCTTCTGGTTGAATGTGCAAGTGCAGAACCAGTGATAGAGGGGAGGGTACTCAGCATCATTCTCTCCTGGGGGCCTTGAACGCCTGTCATCTCCCTGCTCCACTCCCCCATCCCATACTCACATCCCAAAGTGAATCTGTTCAAAGAGCACTTATGTCCAATTGTCCTTATACGATTTTGAAGAAAAAAAAAAAAAAACAAATGCCATAATTCCTGACTGGGAGCTCCCACCCTTGGGGAGATACACATGCATGAATGCATGGTTTCCAGCTGGCTGTGCACTCCATACCAAGAAAACCAACAAAGTGCTAAGGAAGCCCACAGTAAAGCAGAATGAATTCTCTTTAGGAGTTCAGGAGAAGGGAAACAGGACTGGGCAGGAGCTCCTGAAGGTGGTGAAAGAGGGAGGTGAATGTTAGGGCTGTGGCTGCGGGATAGGCAGGTACAAAGAATGTAGAGGAAGGCCATGGTTTGTGTGGCCCTGGGTGGGTGTGTCTCCTGTGAGAGAACTGATGCGTGAGGCAGGAGGGGCCCCTCACGCCAGGTTTAAAGGTTTGGACTTGAGCTATGGTCTGGAAAGCCAGAAACGGTTTTCAAACAAATGCTATACCTAAGTTTTAGAAAAATATTGCGTCTCACCATTTGGTGGGTAAAAAGGCTGTAGACCCTGCCGGTAGACCACTGCCATAGACCAGGGACTGCCTAATACAGAGGAAATTTCTGCACTAAAGACTAGAAGATGGAACTATCAGGCTGGGTGACTGGGAGGGACGGGAGGGGAGGGAGGGAGGGGAGGGGAGGGAGGGGGGGGGGAGGAGGGGGGGGGGAAGAAGAAGAAGAAGAAGAAGAAGAATGAGAAGTTGGAGGAAGTGGAGGAGAACAAGAGGAGGGGAGGGGAGGTACGCGCAATAAGCTGGATCGCAGAGGGGACAGGGACTTGTGCTGTAGGTGGCATTGACCCAGCACCTCTGCGAACTTGCCCAAGGCTCCATGCAAACTCCGGGCGAGGAGGCAGTGGGCGCCACAGTCTTCCTGCTGACCCTGCGGTCCTCCCACTCACTCTCTCCAAAGCTCCCGCCCATCCATCTCCGAGAACCGCCGCCCAGGCTCGGGTTCCCGGCCACGCCCGCACTGCCAGCAAATCGCAGCGCAGCGGCGGCGGCAGGCCGCTTGGCCCTTCCACTCCGGAGACCACCCTCTGACCCAGGGCGGGTCTGCCCACCGCGCGCCTGTGCTCGGGTCTCGGAGCCCGGTCCTTGGAGACTCACTT